TACCTCAGCTCAGATGATGCTAGTGTTGATACAGGATAACTGATATGGTACTTTTGAAGATACTATTCAATAGTTATTTTTAAAAATACTAATAAACTAAAGTTTTTGTCAAGGTAGTTGGGACAACAGTCTATGGTCGACTTTGTTCAGGCTAACAATAAAAAAAAATAGAAATCATAAGTTCATGAACAAACGGTATCAGTGATCGTACGTTAAATTGTAATTTTAGAATAGCTGACACACTTGAGTTGTCATCTGGTTTTGTTATATCTGTAGCTTTTTATTTTAAGCTGAACATTAATATATGCGTTGTATACGATGTACATATAGAAGTAGTTCACACATTGTTTCCCATTGTTTAAATATAAGAATAAAAGAGAGGCAACCTAACATTGACACTCATGAAGATCTTTTTTTGTGTTAAGTAATATAATAGCCAATCGTTATGTGACCACAAAAAATGCTGACGATAACTGGACAACATACGTATACATTAGCTCCTGTTTTTTTGTTATCATTACTTACCTACAAGGTTCATGATAAAGGTATCAACCATTAGCCGATCTCTTCATCTTTTAAAACATTACACTTGGAGAATGAGAAACTTCATCAACAATTTGTGACATTTGTTTTACTGAGCTCATGTCGTGACACAACAGGTGTTGCTTGCAATAACAAAGATATGCGTGCTGTGTACAATACTAAATGCAACTGATACAATACAGCATGCACTTGACACAATACTACATGTAATTGATCCAATCCAGGGGCGGAACTACAGTGCCGCCAGACCCCGCAATGCGGGGGGGCCCACGCCATTTAGGGGCCCACAGCCGACCAAAATAACTTTTTTATATTTAAAAAAATAAAAAAATAATTTCCTTGCTTTTTTGACTTGATGGTTGTTTTGTAATAAAGATTACCGTAGCTTTTATAGACACCACCCCACGCTCTTGTATATTTTCCCTTTGTTTTTAAAACACTGTGAAAGCCAAGCCCTCTTTCTCCTACAATTAAACTTATCAGAGCTAAGCAAACGTTCAAACCACTTTCATGACTTATTTTCCTTTTTTAAATAGTCAAATAAGGGTGCTCATAAGCTCCTTTTAATAGATTTGTACTAAACAAATTAAAAAGCAATTACTTCTCTTAATTATTATTTTTTTGTAAAGTGCTTACTTATGAATGACATTGTATAAAAAGGAAATGTATTTAAAATTAATAATATAAATTCGAAAAAAAAACATGAAAATAAACATAACACGAGACACCATAACTTACATACAAAGCTTTCATGGTTTATATTCTTTTGAACTACTAGAGGTTTAGAGGTGTTATAGCAGAGATAAAATTAAACTGATTTTTACAAAACTCACTAATGCACTTACACACATGACATGATGTTGTAATTTGTTTTAATTGAAAAAAAAACACATTTGTTTCAAAACTCGAACTGGCCAGCAATGAATACCCTATGCTCATATATATATATATATATATATATATATATATATATATATATATATATATATATATATATGGGGGGCCCTAAAATTTTTTTTTTGCGGGGTGGCCCTTTTTTTCTAGTTCCGCCACTGATCCAATCCTACATGTAACTGATACAATACTACATGTAACTGATACAATACTACATGTAACTGATACAATCCTACATGCAACTGATACAATACTACATACAAGTGATACAACCTTACATGTAACTGATACAATTATACAAGTAATTGATACAATCCTACCTCATACGATACTACATGTAATTGATAATGTTCTTGCATATTTCGCTTCCATCTCACATATGCTCAGTCTATTATATGTATTTTTTTTAACGCTATAACTCTTTAAAAAAAAATTCTGGGAAAACATGTCCAGGGATTAAGCGGTCGAAGTCACAAAAATAATAGGCAAGTATTTTCTTTAAAAAAACCGTAAGTTTATACTGTATTGGCCCCAAATACGTTAACTTTCATACAAATAAAGAAAAACAAAATGAAAATACGCTGTTAATAAAAACTGAAGCTAGTAATTGCTGCTGACAGAAACAAGCAAACAACAGCATATGTTGACGATGATGTGATGACGATGATGACGATGATGTGATGACGATGATGATGATGTCCTAGAGCGTGTAGGTAACTTTGATGAATGTTCACATAATTATATGTAAATGACCGTTATAGTTGTGTAGCAGAGGCTAACTTCAAAGTTGGCTTGATCTATTTTTAGTTAACTAAAAAACTGGCTGTATAGATGTAAACCTACTTGTATATTACTTACATGAAATTATTATTCGGGTTAAAATAATGTAAATATTGCTTTAATTTTAAAATGTTAAGTAATATTTATTGGTTATGTCCCATTTTTGTAAAAGTAAAACATTAAAAGGGAGATAACAAACAATTAAATTACATAGGCATCTGAATAAATTAAGTAAACATAAAAATTAATAACACAATGTACTTTTGTACAGAGAGAAGTATTTTAATCAACTGTTAATAGCTGTTTAAAAATGCATGTTTTCTAATTATTTTGGGTTAAAAGTGTTTACTTTTGTAAAAACACTAAAAACTTTGTGGTTAATAAATACCTTCTACTTAGATAACCGAAACATTTAGTATGAGCGTTTTAGTGTGAACATTAGATTGGGCACAATTGTTTCCTGTTGTTTTTTTTTCCAAAACTTAAATGATAAATAAAAAATAAATAAAATACAGTGATTTCAGCTAGTACGATTACGCTTTTTGAACTTGATACAATCTATTTCAGAAGAGATACACGCCTGAAATAGTTTTAGGGAAATAACAAACCAGACTAGGACAGAGACTTTTAAATCCATCTCAGCGTCTGATTGGATAATTATGTCACGTGGTTCGCCCAATCTGTCAAAACGATCTCACGGTCAGTGTAAGCAAAGAAGGTGTTTATGTCGTTAAATGAAATAAACGTGCATTTGCCGGTCAAAATAAATCTTGTTTTGCTTCTATTTGTTGACATACTTACTTTTAAGAAAAGCTGAAAGCTGACTTACTAATTGTAAATCTATATTATTTATCCCAGTTACATAGCAAGTACAAACTAAAGTAAGGTCTATATATTCAACATATATACTCATATTTATAAATATTGAATTATGACCTTGAGCTATATTTTCTTATATTATTAAAAAATTGCAAATATTGAAAAACTTACATTATATTTTTAAGTTTTCAGAATTACACTTACTGAAGTATTTAATACCATTGAGTACAAACACATTAAGTATTGCTGTAAATTTACTAGCGCGTGATATTAAAATTATAACAAACCAGAATAATAACAATGGCCACGATTGAGGTGAAATGATTCAGTCAAGGGGGTTGGTTAACTCTCTTCATATAAGAGAGCTCAAGCTACATATAGCAGAAATGTGAATTAGCTGTGTACAGTTGTCATGCCCCAATAATATCCCCCTCCAAAGGTTACCGATACCAGTTTTACTTTGTTAACTTTTTAAGGAGATTCCTGGTGTTAGATTGGTAGCCGTTCGCGTAGTGAGGTGCATACATGGATGAGAGCCATGAACACTCAATACAAGCACCAAGAGACGGATCCGTGCCCTAGAAATAAGATGTCTGATGTCCTTATGTACGACTGTGAGGGGGGGGGGGATAGCGAGGGTAACAAAAGAGAAGATGGCTGGATGACATCTGGGACTGGACCGGATCGTCTTATGCAAATTCACTGAGGGCAGAGTTTCTTTCAGGCATCATTTTGGAGAGGGGTGGGGTGGGGGGGGGGGGGTGGGGGGCTCTGCCTCCAGAACAAAATGGAATTTATATACAAAACATACTTTTACCAATGTCCACCCTTCCCCTGAAATTTAAGTCCCCCCGCCCTGAAAATTTCAAGTACGTCCCCCACAAAATCAATTATTTATATTTAATTATATTACAGTTTCGATGAATTATAACAATAGTTGTGATCATGTGTGTATAATTAGATGTACTAATCACAGCTTTACTTATTTCCAAGTGTTATTCACTTTGATGGCTGCTAGGTTGAAAGAAACTAGACTTTTGAACAAAATTTCTGCATTTTAGACCATGGTATGGCTAACCCAATTGATCATTATCATTATTTTTAGATGTCCTAAACAATATGAGCTCCCGTATGAGCCCTATGGTCCCTACATTCGTTTAAAAGGTGTGCTCTTCTTCACCATATGGGAGCCATATCAAAAGAGCCGCAGTTACCGACCCCTGGCATACCGGGATTCAAAGCCTTCTTCCATGAACCAAATACGGTAGTTATTACTATCCTTCAAGGCCGATGGCTGACCACGATTACAAATGCCGAGTTTCTAACACAATTTGTCAAAATAATAGGCTGCCACGAGACTGAGTTCAAAAGGGTCTACAACTATGGAGAAGTGAATGTTTGGTATGCCACACTGGGTTCAAGGAAAATTTACGAGGGTCTTATGCTCACTGAATTCTACGAGCCAAAGACACTAACTAATATAGCGTCACTCATGTCAACAACAAAAAACTGTGTTAAAGGTACAGTGAGATGCGTTCCCTTTCACATTAGTAAGGCTGCACTGGAAACAGCCCTTCAGGGCCTATGTGAAGATGGGACCACCTCAAACATATTTTTTGTTAATTTTTTTTTTTTTTTTTTTTTTTGTTAAATTTTTTTTTTTTTTTTTTTTTTTACTCACATGTATAAAGTTTATTTACAAAATGACATTGTTCAAAATTTTTTTACAAATGATCAGTCATCATATGTCATAAATACAGAAGTCATATATTGTCATGTGTCATAATTACAGAAGTCATATATGTTGTTATAGTCATATTTACAGAAATAAAAAATTGTCAGCCATATATTGTCTATACTATAGAAGTCATAAATTGTCTAAACTATAGAAGTCATATACTGTCTATATTATAGAAGTCATATACTGTCTATACTATAGAAGTCATAAATTGTCTAAACTATAGAAGTCATATACTGTCTAATGTATGGAAATCATATACTGTCTAATCTATAGAAGTCATACATTGTCTAAAGTATGGAAGTCATGTATTGTCTCTAAACTATAGAAGTCATATATTGTCTCTAAACTATAGCAGTCATATACTGTCTAAACTATAAAAGTCATATATTGTCGTAGTCATCATCTTCAAGTTTCCTCTTCAAGGGATTGGTTGTGATTGAGATGGTTGGTGTTGACACAGATGGTGTGGTTGGCGGGACAGGGGTTGTGGACACTGGATTTGCTGCCAGGGTTGTGCTGGAGGGGGTGAGGCTGATTCCACCTGTGCTGATGATTCTACTCATACCTGAGGCACCCAGAGCTCCTATGCCTGGCGTGACCCTAACTGTGGGTTTGGGTATAGTTTGAGGCTTGTTGAGAATGGTCACTGTAGGCTGAGTTAGGGTTTTGGTCACGACAGCCAACGTAGGTCCTCCAATACTTTTCACTTGTGAAGTCAAGCCAGTTCTTTGACTAACTGGGAGTCCATACTGTACACTTCCAGGCTTTTTTAAAGTTTTGAGCTTGTAGTTGGGAGCTGTCATGCAGTACCTGCCAGGGGGTAGCCTTGGTCCACAGTAAGGTTTGACTAGAGGCAGGGGCTGACAGTTCTTTTGTCTGGCTATCTCCATCAGCAAATCTCTAGGTGGTGGAGTGGTAAATGAATGGTCCATCTTCATTTGAACAGCCAATTTTATATCATCAGTGTCAACAGACTTTTTGTTGGCATGACTTGAATAAATCTTTGCATCTTCCAGTACATCAGTAACATAACGATATGTGAACTCCAACATCTGATTTATTAGACGTGGTTCTGATTCTAAAACTCCCATATCTTTGAGAATAGCAGACATAACTTGGGCATCCTTCGGTGAGCTTTTTGCTGCTGAAGACATTATATTATTTAGTAGAAATCTAGATCCAAATATTTTCTAAATAAACTTGAGTCTTTAGTTGAAAGCTGTTAAATTAAAATAAATTGCTTGTCTTAGAAAAATGTATACAATAAAGTCACTGTTTTCAAATTTTATAACTTGGGATATTTTTAATGCCAATTAGCGGGTCTACTAATTTTTTAAATATTTTCTAATATTTTTACCTACTTTTTTTTTAAAAATACATTTTTAAAATTGACTAAAACCGACAGCTTAGTAGTTTGTTTTGCGTTGCCTCCCTTGCAATTTTTCCATATAAAAAATGGCAAAGGTCTTTGCAGATATGTATTTAAGTTTTAAAAAAAAACAACACATTTTGTTCCAGACAGTATCTTTACTGATTTAGAGTTTAGAGCTCTAACAAATACAGTAAGAAATATTGCTTGTAATGGTATAACTGTAAAATATATGTATAACGTTTAAATAGCGTTATTATTATTTTTTTTTTTAACTTTAACACCGCAACGCTTAAGAAGGAGTTTGAGGCAAAATAAGTTTTGGTAAAATGACTTTGTACCCGGGCGCCGGGAAGGGTCGCTACGCCTCTGAGGGGATGTTCAGATAGTGTGACGTCACCAATTTGCATTATAAAAAAAAGAATTTTAGCCGTTATTTCGCGTTTAAAAAAACAACTGTTTTAATAAATTGTAAAAAGATATGGGAAAAAGATCGCTGTTTTAAGGTAAATTCAACAGCAATGTTAAGGGGTTGGGGTTGTAGGCTGATGTGTGACGTCAGTTTATGGCGGGGGGGGGGGGGGCTTGGCTTTTCGTAACGATGCGTGACTAATGGGAGGGGGGGGGGTAAAAATTGTTTAAAAAACGTGACGTCATTTGTGGATGTCTTCTTAGGAAGTATTATGTGATGCTTTTGTGGGTGTTCTCTGCATGGTTTATTTTATTTGGTGGGGGGGGGGACTTTCCTGAAATTGCTCATATAAACCTATAATCTACCACAGTCCTTTTTATTTTTATTTTATGTATTTACTTTTAAAATTGCAACGCAAACATCAAGTATACAATGTTTCAAAGTTTTAAAAAAGAAGAGAACAAGAAAAAAGTAAGAAATAGTGTAATCAATAATGTAGTATAAATCGAGAACAAGTACAGTATGTAGAATAGGTGTGACGCAAAATATTTAGTAACAAACGTCAAAGATCTAAACTCTAGACTCTAGACTGTATACGTTAAAATTCCATAACCTGAAGTGTTTGCTTTGAATGAAGTCGGAAAATGAAACTATAATGGCTCTGTATGCATTTCTCTTGCATCAGAAAAAAAAAAATAAACTACATTACGTTTAACAAAAAAAAAAATAAATAATAAAACAAAAAAGAAAAAATAAAAAAAAATAAAGAAAAGTTTAAATGTTAGGATTTATGTACGACTGAGTATAGAGCCTGAATCAGCTTTAACAATGTCAAGTTTAGATTGTCCACCTTCTCTATGCCTATACCTAACACACCAGATAGTTGAATCAGCTTTAACAATGTCAAGTTTAGATTGTCCACCTTCTCTATGTCTATACCTAACACACCAGATAGTTGAATCAGCTTTAACAATGTCGAGTTTAGATCGTCCACCATCTCTATGTCTATACCTAACACACCAGAAATACTACCATTGACAGACAGCTTTTTTTATGTTGACCACATTGAAATTGTCATGAGACATTAGCTTACGTTTTCATTTACCAGAATAGAAAAGACTTAATATGTAACATTCAGCTCCTTAGGAATATGTTTATAAGCAGCATCAACAGTCAATAATATGTAAGCTTTTTTCAAAAAACTGTATTTCGATAATTGTAGTTACTTAAAATTTGGAAACTTAAAAAAAGTAATACAATCGACGAATTTAAATTGCTTGAAGTAGTTAAAAGATACACATTATAACATGACTATATGAATAAGAAAATAAATTATTATTGGCCTTCTTTTCTAACTGTCTAAATCGACTACTGTAGTGTAGGTTCCTGGCTCTACATTTAAATTTAATAACCAAATACGCAGTTTTTCTATCTACCAACACGAAGTTTTGTGTCAACAATTGTGGGTCAAGCCCACGCCTTCCTGCCAGATGCGTATCCGGTAGTATTTTATAATTGACACGTACCAATATTCATCCCACCCTCACCCCCTTTTACACCCCTCAACCTCATAACCTTGTTCAGCTTTCCCTTCGCCTATTGCGACCCTGAGTGTTTGTTGTTTAAGCACTGAATGATAGCGACACAAGTCCATCGTCGTCAACAGCTGTAACTTAACGTAAAGGATTGTCATTTTGAAGGTTCTACCCCCTCCCCTCACCCAGAGGCGTATCCAGGTTTTTCATTGTAGGGGGAGCGAAAAGAGCAAAAAAAGGCGCCGAATTTTTAACACGTTCTATATACGTGTATTTTAAATATATATATATATATATATATATATATATATATATATATATATATATATATATATATATATATATATATATATATATAAAATTACTAGCTGTATGTCATTACTTCGCTATGATGTAAAACAGAGTTTCTTCCAGGCATCTCTTCGGGGGGGGGGGGGGGGGGGGGGGGGGGCTAAGCCCCCCCGTAAATTTTTTACCGCCCCCCCCCCCCCCCCGAAAGAAATGAATTTTATATAATTTATATAGAAAATATATACTTTTAACAGTGTCCGCCCCCCCCCCCCGAAGAAAGTTTACCGCCCTCCCCCGAAGATTTCAAGTGCCCCCCCCCCCCGGAGAAAAAAGTCTGGAAGAAACACTGATGTAAAATAAATTGAAAGTAGCACTCTGAAGAAATAAGAAAAAAACACACTATGTAGGCCGAAAAATAAAAATTGTATCAATCTAAACAAATATATATATATATATATATATATATATATATATATATATATATATATATATATATATATATATATATATATATATATATATATATATATACACACACTACAATAAAAAACAATGAACGTAACACAATTACGTAACATAATAATTCCTTTGAAATTATTTAAGACAATTGAAATAGGGGAAATAATCACTCTCTTAATATAAATATGTATATATCTACACATTTAATTATAAATGACAAAACAAATAAATAATTACTTTAGAATATAATGAAATTGTTCAACACTATTCGTGTTTACAAAATGTTTTTTGTCTATAATCAGAATTTAATATGTCGTCATCATAAATGCTAAAAAATTACAGCATAATGAAAGTTTTTAAAATTAGAGTTGGTATAAAAGCACGCTTTACGATACAATAGAAAAACATTCGGAATAACAGCCTAAATTTCATCTGTATGTCGGTCTTTTAGTTCAGATCACATATTTAATTAACTTCTGCTTCTTTGTGTTCAAAAAAGATCATTTTTTAACATAGTATTGATCACACACCTTTTTACTTGTAATTGCAAAAACAATATTCACAGAGTTTTACGTTTAAAAAGCTAATTTTCTGGCGGCATGGTACTTTGGTACATCATTACAATGTACTAAACAGATCAGTTCGGGGTGGGTTGGGGGGTGGGGGGGTTCAACTTCATTCACCACTGTCCTTTCACTTTAGGTCAATTATCCAACCCAGTGTATACCTAGGTGTGACATTAATGTCGCTCTACACAATTGTGGTGGTGAGGTGTGTGTGTGGGGGGGGGGGGGGGAAGAGATAACCAACTCAGAGTAAACATATCTTCAGTTTTTAGATGACTGTTCTAAACATACATATATATTACACAAATATATATTACACAAACATATATTACAGAAATAGATTTAAATAAGTAGCAGTGGTATTATGACAATATTTTTTTTACAGAGGGGTCCATGGGGGAGGGAGGGGGTTGTAACAGTTTCATATAATTTTTAATCGTTTTCACTATGGCCCAAACTGTAAGAATACTACTACTTCATCGTGATGACGTTGTTGACCTTGTCAAAATGTCCCCACCACTACGCAATTTGTTCATAAGTAAATTTAAATAGAGGTGCCACATCAGTTTTATTTGTTTCTGTATTGTAATTTTTTAAAAATTAATCACACGAGTCAAACTGTATACATAAAGTAATTATGTCTGAAGTTTTATGTATAACATTTTCTACTTCAATTATTCGTAAGCAAATACATTATACAGTTGCCTTAAACTTAACACCCCTCTTGTTAAGTGGTACTACCGTAGAGGCTTTTTAAACATTGCAATGCATCGTAATGGTTATTTTTAGAATGGCAAACTGATGTAGCTGTTAATACGTGTTGTAAACGTAGACACTACTAGACTAGTACAAAAATGCTTAATTGCTGCATGAAAAGAAATCTTGTGATTTACATATGCCGACCAAAAATATTTTTTTAACAAATATCAGTTTAAAACTTTGAGTTTAAAAAGTTTCCAAAAAGGCGCCACTTTGCTGAAAATGGCCAGAGGGGGAGCGGCCGCTCCCCCTGCTCCCCCCCTGCGTACGCTACTGCCCTCACCCCTGCCTACTCCTCCCTCTGCCATCTTTATCATTTTCAGTTTACTTAACTTTTTTAAAAATTAAGTAGTTTTCAATTACCTTGTTTCATCTGCCATCAGTGAAATGAAATTCAAATGGTTTGAAGTAGTAAAAACATACACATTTTAGAAACTCAATGCGAATAATAATCAATTCCTTTGTTTGTTTGTTTTTAATTTCTAGACGCTTTCCTGTTGCACTACAAGCATACTAGACAACAAAGGCCTACCCACGTAGCCCACCCCTCCCATTCGACACCCCTAACTAATCTAACCTTGGCCAACTTTCCCTTGGCCTACTGCGTTCCAGATTATTATACATTACATTAGCGCGATAATAAAATTCCAAACTAAATTCTACAGGCAATTCTCATCACAATGATATACATTGTTGTTCTAGAGGCTGCCAGGCTTAAGTGTTTAATGTTTAAGCTCTAAATAATATCGACACAAGTCAATAGCTGTAGCTTAACGTAAAAATGGTAG